GGATGGGCACGGGGAGAACACTGTGCTTCTGTCTCAGCTCCTTGGAAAGAGGAGACGACATACCCTTCCTTCGAATGTGGGAAGGTGCATTGAGATGCCTCTTACGGTCCTCGCTCCGGTCAGAAGTCACAAAGGGACTGAACTTCCTGTTGGCTGCTGGATCGGGACGCTTCGTCGCTGTGTTTCCTGGACCAGGCGGGACATTCCCGATCCCTTTGGCCCAGAGGCGCTGTGAGTTGGCGTCACTGCCCGCACCCGGCGGCCGTCTCCTTCACCGCCGGTTTCCAGGCCCCTCTGAGTGCCCGACGGGCACGCTTCACAGATGCGCTGCAAACATGCCATGGACATGCTGCGAGCATGGATAGTGCGTGTCTGGTCCCCTCGCCCATGGAAGAACTGCCCTCCCTCTGCCACCTTCTCTGCAGGCCCAGGAACAGCCAGTGTGTCTTTTTAAAAATATATTTTTATTGATTTCAGAGAGGAAGGGACAGGGAGAGAGAGATAGAAACATCAGTGATGAGAGGGAATCATCAATGGCTGCCTACTGCAAGCCCCACACTGGGGACCAAGCCCGTAATTCAGGCATGTGCCCTGACCCGGGATCGAACCAGGACCTCCTGGTTCATAGGTTGACGCGTTGGCCGCTGGTGCTCCTACGAGGGCCGCAGGAGGGAAGAGACCCACACGCTGTGTCCGGTTCTGTGAGTCCACCGGAAGCCCTTGCTTTTCAACGTCAGGATTTTTGGCGTGAGGGAGGCGGGAGGGGGGGATAGTCAAGAAGCAGGTTGGGGTGACGTGGGGGCCAGGGAGGCGGGGCAGCTTTCCTCTCCGCCTCCCAGGCAGACCGCCCGCCGGCTCCATGGTGCACTCTGGGTTCCCTGTCACAGGAACAGAGGACACACGTGGAAATGTCCTCCCATCAACGGTTGCATAAAGCTGTGTAACATCATATGATGAAGACATTCTCTTTGTTCCCCTAAAATGTGCACAGGAAGGAATGTGTAATCAAGAAATACAACATCACCCAGCCGGCGTGGCTCAGGGGTTGAGGGTTGACCTAAGAACCAGGAGGTCAGGGTTTGATTCCCGGTCAGGGCACATGCTCAGGTTGTGCACTCGATCCCCAGTGGGGGGCAGGCAGGAGGCAGCCGATCGATGATTCTCTCTCATCATTGATGTTCTCTCTCTCCCTCTCTTCCCCTTCCTCTCTGAAATCAATAAAATATATTTTTAAAAAAGAAAGAAAATACAACATCTGAGAAAGTCGGGCACTCCCGGTGCGCTGGGACATCCGTCCGGCTGCGACGCGGAGTTCCGGGGCCTGTGTCTCCAAGCCGCCAGCTCACACACGGTGATGGCGGGGTCTGTGCCCAGAGGCCCACGTGCCAGGAGCTCAGTGTCACCTGCTGTCCCGGCGGCCTGGGCGGGAATCCAGCTTCCGAGCGCGTCTCTCTCTTTCTTTGTGTTTATGGCTTCATTTGAGAAGCAGCCGTCAGGCCTCATCCACACGCACTGTCTGCAGGTTTTGAAAGCGGTGGCCGGTGCGACGAACACGCACAGCGCTGGATTGGGACGCTTCGTCGCTGTGTTTCCTGGACCAGGCGGGACATTCCCGATCCCTTTGGCCCAGAGGCGCTGTGAGTTGGCGTCACTGCCCGCACCCGGCGGCCGTCTCCTTCACCGCCGGTTTCCAGGCCCCTCTGAGTGCCCGACGGGCACGCTTCACAGATGCGCTGCAAACATGCCATGGACATGCTGCGAGCATGGATAGTGCGTGTCTGGTCCCCTCGCCCATGGA